GCTATATTTAATGCAGTTCTAGAGAACATTCAGTCCAGATTTGAGCGGGAGGTAGGGGAGAGCTGTAGAAGGGATGTCTCAGGTAATACATAATATAATTAAGGAACTGTACTTATGATGCTGTGAGAAAGCATATTATTCTTTGCCTACCCCAGCCCTAAAAAGAAAGACAACATAAGAAAAAGCTGTGCAAGAAGAATATGGTATGAATAAGATGCAATTTAAAATGTGGCATAATTTTAATCATCATTCAGAACTTAAGAGAGAATCTATCCTGTCAAGAAGAGTATCTTGTAAGTGGACCAGGTATTATGACACTGAAGTAAAAGAAGGATATATTATTTTGGCACAGTGTATGGATCTGTCATGAATAGTAATTACATAGTGATAATAAAGGTACTTTTATTATTTTTCAACTTTTAGAGTAAATTTACCAGCAAGTATGAAGACTTTATTAGGGTTATACATTAGAATTCAGATGTTAAAAATCATGACTAAGAGTCAAGATATAGCTAACAAAGAAGGTGAAAGGGGGAGAGGAAAGGTGGAAGGAAAGCTAGTGGTGCAGTTATTATTTCCCATGATTGGGAGTTAGTCCGTGAATTGACCCAAGCCCATTAAGATTAGAGGTACAGCCAGCTCTTCACACCGCTGGGTGCCGCACCAGGTGGGCTCAGCCAACCATGGATCTAAAATATTTTTTTTAAGTTGCATCTGTTCTGAACATGTACAGACGTTTTTGTTGTCATTATTCACTAAATAACACAGTGTTGCAACTCTTACATAGCATTTACATTGTATTAGGTATGTAAGTAACCTAGAAATGATTTAAAATACACAGGAAGGTTTGTATACATAAATATGATTTATATAAAGAACTTGTGCAGCTTTGTATTTGGAGGGGGTCAAACAAATCTCTAGATTTGTTTGCAAGGTGTGACAAATCTCTAGAAGATATGACGGGCTGCACTATATTATTTGAAATTACAAATGTAGGCAAGAGGAGAAATGAAGATAGTGTAATTTACTAAATATTGAAAAGAAAGGTTAAAGAGAATTTATGAAGGTAGTTAAAACCTTATTTTTTATAATTGGGGCTTGGATTTTGTCTAGAGTATAAGTCTAGATAGAAATAGAGACTAAAAGCATTTTGAGTTAGAGAGGTAAACATCAGAAAACTAAAAACAGAAATAAAGAAGGGCTTGCCTCTGGGAAGAGGGTCTTTGGGTTTCCTCTTGTTCTTTTATGTCCTTCAACCACCAGTGCTTAAATGTTGCTGTCCTCTAGAAATCAGCCCTTGGCCTCTGTCTCACATAACATATGCATAGTAATTGGCTTGCACAACTACCTGCGAACTTTTGAGTCCTGCTCTCTTATCTCTAACCTGATTATTTTCCTGAATGCAAGACCTGCATTTCCAAACATCTATTTCTGCAAGTCCCAGAAGCATTTAAAAATTAACATGTTCACAATGGAAATCATGATCTTAACTTATGAAATCTATTTATATATTCCTTTGAATATAGGCTTCAGTTTTTAATTATATTGAAATATAGTTTACATATCATAACGTTCACTTGTATTAGGTGAACAATTCTTTGACATTTAGTAAATTTGCAGAGTTGTCTGACAATTTCCTCAATCCAGTTTTAGAACAAATTCAACCACTCTTAAAAGATCCCCCATGCTCATTTGTAGTTGCTTTCAGTTCCTGGCCCAGTCCCAAGCAACCATTAATCTACTCTTTATAGATTTACTTTTTCTAGATATTTCATATAAATTGAATCATACGTGATTTTCTGTGGCTGGCTTCTTTCACTTAATATGTTTTTGAAGTTCATTCATGTTTTAACATGTTCTAATACTTAATTCTGTGTTATTGCCAAATAGTGGTCTGTTGTATGCCCATACCAAATTCTGTTTATCCATTCATCAATTGATAGACATTTGAATTATTTCCAGTTTGGAGCCATTATGAATAAAGTCATTCTAACGTTTGCATACAGGTCTTTGTGTGGACTTCTATTTTCATTTCTCTTGGATACATTCGTATGATAAACTTAAGCATCTATCAAACTACTTCCCAAAGTGGTTGAACCACTTTATAGTCCCACCAGCAAGAGATAAGAGTTCTAGTTTCTCCATATCCATTCTTTTTTTTTAATTTTTATTTTTTGTATTAAATTCTTTCATTGGTACATTGTAGGTATACAACACAATTACATTTCTCATTGGGAATTGTACCTTTGCATAATGCATCTTGGTTCTTATTTTTTCCGCATTCCTAGCCCTCCCTTCACCCCCTCCACCCTTCCCTATTTACAAAGACTTTATTTCCATTTCTCATCATTTTTCCTTTCCCTTCTTTCCTTTCCCCTGGCCCTCCCACTACCCCTACCCCTTAGACCTTTTCTTCCTATTTTACATTATCAATTATTCATTCTAATCATTGGTACATTTTAGGTATACAATATAATGACATTCATCATTGGAAATTTGCACCTTTACATAGTCTCTCTTGGTTCTTATTTTTCACCCTTGCCCAGCCCTCCAACCCCTCCATTTCTCCCTATTTACAAAGATTTTGTTCCTATTTTTCCATTTTCTCATATTAATCCCATTCCCTTCTATCCTTTCTCCTAGCCCTCCCACTTCCTTTCCCATTACCTATTATACATTTTAGTCCTTATTTACACTTTCAGTTTCTCACACCAGAGAAACTATTTGGTATTTATACATGTTTGTCCTGTTTATTTCACTTAAGAGTATCGCCTCAATGTGCATCCACTTAGCTATAAATGTCTCTACTTTCTCATTTTTTATGGCTCCATTTTATAAAAAAACCACATTTTCTTGATCCAGTCTCCAGTTGATGGGCATTTGGGCTGTTTCCAAGTTTTAGCTGTTACAAACTGTGCTGCTATGAACATGGGCGCACATGTATCACTGTGGTATGATTCTTTTAATTTTTGGGGAAGATCCCCAGCAGTGGAATAGCGGGGTCAAAGGGGACTTCCAGTCCTAGTTCTTTGAGGTATCTCCATACTGATTTCCACAGTGGTTGCACCAGTCTACACTCGCACCAGCAGTGGAGCAGGTTTCCTCTTTACTTATTTAATTTCAGTAATCCTTGATTTTCTTTCTTACTCACTTATTCTGTGGGTGTACCTCCTAAGTATATCTTAATTACTCCCTTCTTTATTACAATTTTTAATTGCTTTGTTCTTCATTATTCTTGATTTTTTTAAAAAATTCTTTTATTGGTACATTTTAGGTATACAATATGTTTACATTTATCATTGAGTGATTGTACCTGTACATGATGTTTCTTGGTTCTTATTTTTTTCCCCATTACCTGTGCACCCTTCACCACCTCCACCCTTCCCTATTTACATAGATTTCATTTCCATTTTTTTTCCTTTTCTCATAATTTTCCTTTCCCTTCTTTCCTTTCCCTTTCCGCTCCCACCACCCCTACACCTTTGGACCTTTCCCTATTTCAAATTATCAATTATTCCTTTTAATAATTTTAATCCTTATTTACACTTTAAGTTTCTAACACTAGAGAAACTATTCGGTATTTACACATGTGTGTCCTATTTATTATTCTTGATTATTAAAATAGCCTCCAAACTGCTTTCTCTGATAACATTTCCTTGGATTGATTTTCTAGAATGTCATTAAATGAATTTTATAAAGTGCATTTTGTAATTACTTGTTTTCGTCTCTGTTATTACCCAGTCCAGGAAGGGACTGTCATTTTTTTAAGGGTAATAGGCCACTTGGTACATTTTTTTCTTTCTTTTTTTTTTTTTTTGGTACCAGGGGTCGAACTCGGGTCCTTGTGCTTGTGTAGCAGGCGGCGAAACCACTGAGCTAAATCCCAGGCCCGGTACATGTTTTTTGATAGAGGAATGAAGAAATTATTCTTAAATACCAAGGCTTTCATTTTGAGTGAAATATTGCCTTAAAAATCTTTACATTTTCTACTGTAGAATTACTGTATATAGCTCTAAAGTTTATTTGCATTGTCCAAAAAGTACTTAATATAAAATTGCCATGATATGTCTCTTAATACATCTTGAATGTCATAATGTTAGATGGTTTCTCATAGGATTTAGTAGTCACTTCTGTATTAGTATTAGTAAACAGCACAGCCATTCCACAGTGCAAATTAAATAATGAAAGATACAACTGATTTTTCATAAAAGTCAAACACTATAAGCTAAAATAATTTATGTGACTGTGTGCATCTGTCATTCTTATGATTATGTAAAAATTGCCTTTGTGGGAGATACTATATGATACTAAAAAGAATTGTTTTTAGATACATAATTATATGATTTTATTTTAATATTTTTAAAGCACAAATGTATTTGTTTCTGTGTTTTACATCAATCAAGTAATAATGTTTGAGTTGTGTCTTTAGAAAAGATAATCATCTAAATGCTTGGCATACTTTAGATAATTATATGATGAAGAACCCTAGGCTTCATTTAAACAAAATTAGAGGTTTAGTCAATGTTTAAAATGTTTTCTAAAACCTAACTTTCTTATGCATATAAAATAACTTTGCCATAGTTTTCAGTTAGTTATTTGTCATCAATATTAGTCAAGTTCAATAATTATATCATTTCAAATTGGATATGATGTTATAAAGTTCTCAGAACTATTATCTTCTTTCAATTTTATAAGGTCTTCAAGTCATTGTATATAAGTTGTATGTAGTTTATAAGGAAATTAGTTTTTTTAAAAAAATCTGTGGGACACTTGTCCATTAGCTTCATATTAAAATTCCTTTTATTCACAGACTTATATAACACTCTTAAATTATCCAGATATGTAAAGATAAGTAGAGTCTAAAGAACGTGGTTTATTTCATAACTTTGAAACTTGGACAGTGATTTGAGAGTTCAACTTAGTGCACAGCTCCTTTTCTAAGTAGCGTTCAGCTCTGTTTGCAACTCTGAACATGTAGACTGAAGGGGTGGTTCCCGCAGGTACCTGACCTCTGTGCACAACTTGGTCCGCCTTGCCTTCGCCCAAACTGCAATCCTATCAGTCAGATTTTTGACGTGTTACAGAACGCAAGTCACAGCTGCTGCAATCTGCAGTATCGAAAACTTTTGAAATACTGCATGTCTAACAAAGTTCAGTTTTTGTGTGAATGAAAGTTTTATTAAGGTAAGCCCTGCTTGTTTAGAAAAAAGAAACTCAGAAAAAGGCAGTGATTATTTCACATTTATGTAAGTGTATGTTTTCCTTTCTCTCCCTCCCCCACCTTCCCTGTAAGAGAAAGAGTGGTTGGCTTTGGGAGAAGACCTTGGTATTACACCTGCGTTAATAATAACTTGTAGATTAAGATTTCTGTTACAATCTTAAGTCAGGAATACATTGCCTTTATAAAATAGAATTCAGAGCTTGTGATCATAATGTAAGTATAAAATGCTTCATCTCTTCAAAGATATTTTTAATTCCTTCGTTTCTGTTATAAGCAGAAAATTTCACATACAGGCATGTCTCATTAGCTACTTTGCTTTGCCAGATACCAGACATTTTTTTTAAAAAAAAAGGCATGTGTAGATTGATACATGTAATGTGCAGTTTACAGTAAACTTAGAAATGCTTTTATGAAAGTTTTAAAGGTTCTATATAAATGCAAACATTTTAAATGCTGTTAGCAATTTTTCTGTATTATAATTGACTTTTCAATAAATTGAAAAAGTGGCAGTTATTCATTTTTCTTAAAAGTCAGATCATTAGTAGCCTTCATGAAAAAGCAAAATAGTCAATTCAGGTCAATTTCATTTTCTGCCTTATATATTTCATATATAATCTCATAGTGCACTACTATATGTAAAATATTTATTAAAAGCAAAATTTATCAAATTTTTCTACAGAGAATTTTAAGATTGAATTACATTATGCAGTGATTTATACTTAGCACATTTGTATTTTTTAATGTTTTTTAGTTGTATCTATTCAGATTTTATATATAATGGCTAAAAAGTAGATATTCTACTTAATTTTGTCACACATAATCTTGCTTTCAACATTTAAGAGTATCACTGTTAGAATATTTGACATCTTGTAATGCTCTCAAGAAAATTTAATTTTTCCTAAATTATTAATTTTAAACTATTTTAGGTGCTGTTTTTCAACCCTAATCTTTTTACCAAGAATGAAACTGTTTAAAAATTAAGATGCCAACAGGTAATTTCTTGTAAGTTCATACTTCTGTCATTGTGTGTCATTTAGAGCAACAACTGTATATTAACACAAGGCTATACTGTTCCCTACCAAAAACCATTCCACACATATGAAATATTTTGGTTTTGAAAGACCTTCTTTTTTTACCATAAAACTTTTATTTTAGATTTACATGTTTTAGTGGCTTTTACAAACTGACAGATTTTAGCTTTCTATCTAATATCAACTTTTCAAAGAATGAAATCAGAATAAGAATAAAAATAGATTCAGAGAGAATTCAGGTTAGATGAATGTTTTCTTTATTGATAAAATACTAAGTATTGAGATATGTTGTTATAATATGGTTAAATACAGGGACATTAATTTTGGCTGTGAAAAAGTTACTTTACACCCTCAGTAGGAAACCATATGTAGTGACTTCCATGATTCTGATGTGATATGTTAATTGACATTTTGTTAGCCAGATTTCTCCAGAAAAATTGGATGATATTATTAAAAGTTGCTTGATTATGAGAAAGCATGACATTATGGTAAAGAGAGGAAAAAATACTTAGTTTTGGCTGGTTTATTTTCCTTTTTTAATACTTAAATTCTCTGGAGTTCTATTTTCCTCTACATTTATAACTTTTATAAGTTATAAAGGGATGCTGAAACAAGTTTTTCTCAATTCAAAGTAAAAAACCTTTAAATGTGAAGGTGTGATTGTGAGGACATTTGGCTCATAGCAATTATATCTTAACAGGTGTTGATTTCTTAGTGGCAAAAATATTAGAAAGGTTTTTTTAAAATTGGAACACTGTTTTTTAGATACCAAGCTGGATGGCAAATGGAAGTAATGCTATTTTCTTTTTCACATTAGATGATTCTAGGTCATTTCTTAGAAACAATTAGGGACTAACAGTGTGCAATTTAAAAGCAATGTAGGGACCAGGGATTTAGCTCAGTGGTTTTGCCGCCTGCTGCGCAAGTGCAAGGACCCAAGTTTGATCCCCGGTACCAAAAAATAAAAAAATAAAAGCAATAAAATATTCTCTTTAAGGCCAAAAGATACAATCTTCTAATCATAGGTAATAGTAAATGACTTGATAAATTTGAATATAGTTTCATGTAATTTTTCTATACAGTGGTTTTGATGCCCAGGAGTGAAACTTTTCTTTTTTAAAAAAAAAAGATTAGGGGTGCAATCCTAGCACTCAGGAGTCTGAGACAGGAGGATCGCTGTGAGTTCAAGGCTATATAATGCGTTCAAGATTAGCTTGAACTGCAGAGCAGGACCCTGTATCAAAAAACAAACCAACCAAACAAAAAACCAAAAAAATAAAAAAGAGTAGAGGTGGAAGTGAGTCAGGAAGGAAGGAAGAAGGTACCAAAGGAGAAAGGGAAAACAGAGATGAAGATAGATAAAGGAAAGGCCAGAGATAAGGAAGTAAAGGTGGAGAAAGAAGAAGGAAAGAAAGGAAGCAAGGGAGAAATGAAGGTTTATTTTCTTAATGTTCTGACAGTTTTGGCTATATGTTAAGCAACAACTTAGGTTTTTTTGTTTTATTTGATAAGTTTAGATAATCTTTACAATGACTAGCTATTACCTAAAATCCTTTTGCAAAACAAAGTCTTGTGAGATTATAGTATCTTTGGTTTTTGATGTTAATTATCAAATATAGGGGTATTTAGAGATAATTTTTTTTGGTACAGAGGATCGAACTCAAGACAATTTTGAAAATCAAAATGTAGTCTAAATTTTTCCCCACTACATATTTAGATTTTAATATATTTGAGACCTAAAAGGAAAAACATCAGAATCTAAATACAGTCTTAGGACAGGAAAACTGTAAATACTGCAGAATCACTGTGGTAAATGAGAAAGGCCCTGTTCTAAGAACCTGATGACTGCCTTTTTACCTAACTAATGTAGAGATTTCTTAGTTCTGTTATATTTACCTAAATCCATTTAAATTAATGGCCATATCCTTAGGATGAATTAATTTTTCTCTCAAAAGGACAGATATCCTTGCCTATGAAATAAGGAATAAATTCTTTCATTTTGAGAAAAGAATTTTTTATTGTAATTTTTAGAATTGCTATTTTACTCTAAGACTAACTGTTCCTGGTTGCCCTAGAAAACTTTTAATGTGCCTTTCTCTGTCCCATATACATATGTGTTTTAGATCACGAGGAGCCCTGTGGTCCCAGTCACAGGTCATTTTGCCTGAATGGGGGGATTTGTTATGTGATACCTACTATTCCCAGCCCATTTTGTAGGTGAGTGAAATGGACTGGGGGGAGAGGGTATTTGTATTTTTTTTTTTATCATCTACTAACTTCTTTGAGAAGTGATTAAAAAATGAACAAAAAGTATAAAATGAAAAAAATTGGGGGAATATTCTTTATGCCCTCTGTATGTAGGGCAAAATTATGTTTTTTAAAACAACAAAACAGCAAATAAAAAATGTCATTCAAAATGTTTATTTTAAAAATTGATATTGGTAGGTTCTAGCCTAGACAGAGTTTAACAAATAAAATAATCCATTTTAGTGAGCTTTTTGACTTTTAGCAATTTAGAGAAGGCAGTTCTGTTTAATACTGCTGGCAGAACAGCTGGAGAGTTCAGTAATGTAAGAAACTCAATGTGAGTCAATTTGAGTTTAAAATATATAAATACAGAATAACTGAGTTAGTACCAAAGAAAATAGAGTTGTTTTTCTATTGTTAGTAACAAAGGAGAAAAACAAAGTCTCAGCCCTTGTTTTCAAATAATGTAATTCATTTTGGAAGCATAGATAAAGCAAGAAATTGATGAAAGCTTTCAAAATAGTACTTGAATAGCTGGATTCCTGTAGTTTAGTTAAGATATGAGGGCATATAATAAATCTCTTCTAGTTTGAGTGAGCAACATACTAGCAGAGAGGCTCATGGGCTTTGTAGAGCTGCTGCCTAATCACCTCAAGATACTTTGCAACATGTGTGAATTACAGTACTTGTTTGTTCTGTGATTGAAATGAGAAATGTAGAATCTACATTTAAAATTTAAGATTTTGTTAAATGAAAGGATAGAACAGTAAAATTAACAGGAAAGATTAAAGATGTTGGAATTTGGTTTGGAGCAGAGGAGACAGGTAAATAAGTTCACAGTTTGCTCAAGAAGTTTTTAGGGATTTTTATGTAGGGAATAGTGCCTAGTGAATATATAAAGGAAGGGAATAGAATAACAAACTAACAATTACTCAACACCCACCATGTGCCTCAACAGTATGTTTTTTTGAAAATCTACTTGCTGAGATGTAAATTATGTTGATAAACTAAATTTACTTAAAGTGCACAATTGATGAATTTTGGCAAATGTTTATACTGTATCTGTCAGACCACTGTGATGTTAAAACATTTCCATTCCTTTCCTGCTCCCCACCCCAAATTTCAGGCTGTGCTTTTTCTTCATTTATGCTTCTACATTCATTCTTAGAAAAACCTCAGAGAAAGGCAGGGGGACCTTAAGAAATAGAAAAGTAAAACAACAGCAAAAAAGAAATTAAGTGACATAACAAGGGTCACATAGAGATGGCCTTAGATACAACTCCCATTTGCTTAACCTTATAATATATTCATTCTGAATTCTAAGTAGATAAAGCACATGGCATTTATAAAATTAAATTTAAATATGTATTAGCAGATATACATTTAACAAAGGATGCTAATGTTTTGTGTCTTTGCTGGTGGCTAACAGGGTAAATACTTCTTCATTGAGCCGCCTTTGCACCTTTGTCAAAAATCAATTAACCAACTATTTCTGAGCTTATTTCTGGACCAGTCTATCTGTTGATCAGTGTTTCTGTCTTTTTTGTTTTGTTTTGTTTTTTTGTTTTTGGTACTGGGGATTGAACTCAGGTCCTTGTGCTTGCACAGCAGGCAGTGGAACCACTGAGATAAATCCCCAGCCCTAGTGTTTCTGTCTTTTTACCAATTCCAGATAGTGTTGATGACTATGAGTTTACGATGAGTGAAAGTGGGTAGTGTGAGTCCATAACTTTATTCTTCCTCTCACTGGTCTTTACTTTTCTTTTCTAATAGATAATATTTATTGTTAAAAAGGTTTCAAGCACATTTTAACTTAATCCTACCAATTCTATACTTTGTTATTCAGTTCTAAGTTTAAAATTTTTTCCATTATAATTTTTTTTTTTAACCTGTGGTTTATTGTTACCTTTTTATATCTAATTGCACAGTGGTCCATGAACTTGGTCCATCAAACGTTTTGCCCTGAATAAATTGAAAGAAAGAATTAAGGAGGACTGGGCTTGGTGACTAAGTCACACTCTGGGACTTAACCTTATTTCCCCTATCCTCTCTGCTCCTTCCTTAGTAGCATTTCTCTGCTAAAGTAATATTCTAGTGTCCCTTTTTCTTCTGTCCCAATTCTATTTACAATACTGCTGTAGTGATTTTTCTGAAAAGCAGATCTGATTTTCTTTTCTATTCATAAAATCTCCAAGGGATTCTTATGCCCCAGGGTGCAACTGAATTTCTTAGCCCAGCATTCATTGCTCTTCATATTAGTCTGCTCTGTTTGGCATACTTTCCAGTAACAACTTCTTACATATCTTGAGTTCTAACATGCTGAACTGTGTACAGTTTCTCAAGCAGGCTGAACTTGACTTTCTTTGGCAGATGTTAGTCCTCCTGCCTGAAATGCCTATCTTACTTTATCCATGAAGTAATTTAACTTACTCTTCTGGGAAGCTTTGTTTTCCTAACCAGGCAGATGCAAGGGCTCTGTTCTTTTTTTCCTGCCATACCAATATGATACTGGCATAGGCCAACTTGTAGACTGGTAATTTGTAGAAGGTTCAAATTTTAATATAGTCCAGTTTGTTTTCTTTTGTTGTTATAGCTAAGAAATAATTGCCGAATCCAACACAGTAAAGTTTTTAACCTAATGTTTTCTGCTAAGAGTTTTCCTCATATTTAGGACTTTGGTCTATTTTGAGTTAATTTTCATACATAGTATAAAATAAGCCCTTTTGAATGTGTCCAGTTTCCCCAGCACCATTTGTTGAAAAACTGTCTTTTCCTCATTGAATGATGTTGGTGATTTGACCATATGTGGCAGAATTTATTTCTGGGCTCTATATTCTACTCCTCTGTATATCTACTTTTATGCCATTATTACACTGCTTTGATACCATAGTTGTATATTAAGTTTTGTGGGGGTGGTGGTTGGTACCAGGGATCAAACTCAAGACCTTGAGCTTGCAAGACAGGCACTGAGCTAAATCCCCAGCCTCCGTTATATATTAAATTTTGAACTCAGGAAATGCAGGTCCTCAAATTTTTTCCTTCTAGAACGTTTTGGCTATTTGACATTCTTTGAGATTGCATATGAATTTTAGAATGGGTTTTTCTGTTCTTATTAAAAAAACATCTATTTGGTTTTACTTATTCCCTTTTTTGGGGGGGCAGGGGATGAGGTCTCACAGTGTTCCCCAGCTGGTCTTGAACTCATGGGATCAAGCAGTCCTCCTTTCTCAGCCTCTTGAGTAGCAGGGGCTACATGTACATACTCCTGTGCCCAGCTTCTATTTGGTTTTGATCTGTCTTGAGTACTCCTAGAGCTATTTTTTATTTATCAGACATTATGCATGAAAACTATAGAGATTATTTAAGACTTTAAGTATTATCTTTTTTTTTTTTTTTTTTTTGGTACCGGGGAACTTGGGTCCTTGCGCTTGTGCAGCAGGTGGTGAAACCACTGAGCTACATCCCAGGCCCCTCAATGTTATCTTCCTTTAGGTAGAAACACTAGTACTCATAGATCATATAATCAGTGATTTTGAGATTATTCTAAGCTAGGCTTTTGGTTGCTGTGTAGATTCAGAAATGAACTTTGGAATCAACTTATTTATTTCCAAAGAATCTTGTAAAGATTTTTATTGGAATTGAATGTTTAGGACAAATATGAGAATTGATATCATAATAAAGGTGAAGACTTTCAATCCCTGAACATGTCATATACCTTGATTAAATTTATTTCTCTAATACTTGTTTTGTCACACTAGTGGCACATTAGTGGTGGTGTTGAATCTTTCTTTTTCTTTTTCTTTTTTTTGGTACCGGGAATTGAACTCAGGACCTTGCGCTTGTGAGGCAGGTGGCGGCACCACCGAGTTAAATCCCCAGCCCTTTCATTTGTTTTTTTGTTTTGTTTTGTTTTGTTTTGTTTTGTTTTTTGGTACCGGGGATAGAACTTGGGACTTTGTGCTTGTGAGGCAGGTGTTGGAACCACTGAGCTAAATCCCTGGCCCCTCTTTCATTTGTTTTTAACAATATATATATTTAATAGTTTTGTGTTAGCATTTAAAATACTATTTTCCAAATGCTAACTGCTAGTGTATAGAAATAAAATTATTTTCATACTGATCTTATGTGTAGTTATCTTGCTGAATTCACTTCTTGATTATGGTAGATAGTCCTAGAGAAATGACAATTATATCATCCTTGAAATGACAACTATGCTTCTTTTTATCCGGTCTTGAGGACTTTGTCTTGCTGAGTTACATTAGCTTGAGCAGAATCTACAGTATACTATATTTAATAGAAGTGATGAGAATGCTCATTTTACTGTAGTTTCTGACTTCAAGGAAAGAGATCTCAGTATTTCATCATCAAGTATGATTTAAGCTGTGGGTTTTTGTTGATATCTTCTATTTTTTTGGGGGGGGTACTGGATATCGAACTCAGGACCTTGCATTTGCGAGGCAGCCGTGGTGTCACTGATCTAAATCCCCAGCCCCAGGTTTTTGTTGATATCTTTTAATGGATTAAGGAAGTTTCCTGTATTCTTTGCTGAGTTTTTAAAATCATGAATGAATTTTATATTTTATCAAATGCTTTTTTTTCATATATCCAAATGGTCATTTTTTTATTTGACAAATCCCATAAATTACATCAGTGCTCACTGCTTCCTAAACATATGTTTAAGGTATATTCCATACATATATAAGGCATATTTAAAATAGATATATTTAGAGTTTACAGTTTGATGAATTTTGACACCATACATTCAACCAGACGCTCACAATCAAGATAATGAACATATCTACTACTCTTCAAAGTCTCTTTATATCACTTTGCAATTCATCCCTTATTTTTTGTTCTCAAGTAAGCATTGATCTACCTCCTATAATCTAAGCCATCAAATTTATTGTCAAAAATCATTCATAATATTTATTTCCTCATTTAGTTAAAAACTAAAATTGGTAAAAGAGATT